TATCCGGACACGTCTCCTGTCCAAAGTGCAGCAGAACAACTCTACCACACTCCAAGAGCTGGCAGCAGAGTGCCAAACGCTGATTAATCTCAAGCACGACTCTGCAATGATTCAGAACCCGGCCTCATCTTTCTCAGTCCATACGGTCACATCGACCAAATCGCATCCTGTTACACGGCCCAAGCAAGTGTCCAAGTCGAGATCTCCGCCATCTCCTTGTCGCCACTGTGGCGCGTGGCATTTCCACCGAGATTGCACTTTCCGCCAGCATCGCTGTCAAAGCTGTAATCAGGTGGGACACCGTGATGGGTTCTGCAAATCAGTACCAGCTTCTGGAGGCAAGCCAGCTCCCGCCACTCCTAATTTCAGGCACCGTTTCCGGTCAAAACGCAAGCCCAAACCCCAGTCCGTGGGTAATTCTCTCAGTCTTTTGGCCGCTTTCCAGCTCAATGCGTCTGGTCGTAGAAAATTTGTTGATGTCTTGCTCAATGGCCATGCAGTTCGTCTACAGCTGGACACTGCCTCAGATATCACCATCATCTCTGAGAGACTCTGGCAGTCCCTTGGCAGTCCCACGATGCAGCAGACTTCTCAGTCCGCCACAAGCGCGTGCGGTGGTCTCGTACAGCTAATTGGGCAGCTGCAATGCTGTGTGTCGTTCCGCGGTACCAGCATCACTGCGATCTGCCACATCACCAAGTCTGATCTAAACCTACTTGGTCTCGACTGGATTGAACAACTTGGGTTGGCCGATATGCCGCTCCGCATTGTTTGCAGTCAGGTGCAGATTCCCGCTGTGCTTGCAGACCAAGCCAAGGACATTCTCCAACGGTTTGCTCCAGTGTTCCAAGACGGCCTGGGTCGTTGCACATACACTCAAGCCGTGCTACATCTGTCTCCTGGAAGTCAACCAGTCTTCCGTCCAAAGCGACCAGTCCCATATGCAGCCCTACCACTTGTCGAGGCTGAACTGAAACGTCTAGAGGAACTGGGAGTTCTGGTTCCTGTATCCTACTCCGCCTGGGCCGCTCCAATCGTTGTGGTTAAGAAGCCCAATGACTCGGTCCGCATTTGTGCTGACTTCTCCACCGGTCTCAATGCCGCGCTGACGCCGAACTGCTATCCACTACCGGTTCCGGCTGATCTTTTCACCCTGCTGAATGGTGGCACTTGCTTTGCCAAGTTGGATCTCGCTGATGCGTATCTGCAGATCGAGGTCGCCCCAGAGTCGCGCGAATTGTTGACCATCAACAGCCACCGCGGTCTGTTCCAATACACCAGGCTACCCTTTGGTGTCAAGACCGCCCCGGCCCTATTTCAACAAACGATGAACGCAATGCTCTCCGGCATCCCTGGCACAGCTGGGTACCTGGACGACATCATCATCGTGGGTCGCTCCCCTGCCGAGCTGCAAGACCGAGTGTGCGCAGTGCTCGAACGCGTGCAGGAATATGGCTTTCGCCTACGGGCCGACAAGTGCCAATTCTTCCTCGACTCCATCAAGTACCTTGGATTCGTTTTTGACGTCAATGGTCGCCATCCAGATCCCGAAAACATTCGGGCCATCCAGCAGATGCCTGCCCCCAAGAATGTATCGCAACTTCGTTCGTTCCTTGGCCTGATCAGCTACTATAGCGCCTTCCTACCATCGCTGCATGACGCACGGGCCCCGCTCAACCGTCTGTTGCAGAAGGATGCTTCCTGGTGTTGGTCCCCCGACTGTGAAAAGGCCTTCGCCCAGCTATAGTCGATGCTGAGTTCAGATCTGCTGCTCACGCACTACGACCCGACGCTGCCGATCGTTGTTGCTGCAGATGCTTCCAACCACGGAGTTGGTGCGGTCATCTCACACACGTTTCCTGATGGATCTGAAAAGGCGATCATGCATGCATCTCGCACGCTAACCCCTGCGGAGAAGAACTATGGGCAAATAGAGAAAGAGGCTCTAGCCCTCGTGTTTGCTGTCAAGAAATTTCACAAACTATTGTACGGTCGCCACTTCACGTTGTTGACGGATCACAAACCGTTGCTGTCAATCTTCGGTTCGAAGAAGGGCATTCCCGTCTACTCAGCCAGCCGACTTCAGCGATGGGCAACCATCCTTCTTGGCTACGATTTCGACATTCGCTACTGTCGTACTACAGACTTTGGTCAGGCTGACGCCCTTTCTCGCCTCATCAGCAATCAGCAGGAACCGGAGGAAGATACCGTGATTGCAGCTATTTCGATTGAGGACGATGTGCGCCGTCAGCTGTCAGACGCCATACGAGGTATCCCCGTCACTGCCGCGGACATCCGACATGCTACTGAACAGGATCCTGTCCTCCGCCAGGCCATCACCTACGTGCAGACCTGCTGGCCAACCACTGCTCTCGCTGGCGATCTTCGCCAGCTCTTCCTCCGCCGAGCATCGCTATCTGTGGTTGACTCCTGCCTCATGTTTTCAGACCGTGTGGTGATCCCATCTTCCCTCCGACCCACTGTACTACGCCAGTTCCATGCGGCTCATCCTGGTACCAGCCGAATGAAGTCTATTGCTCGCAGTTTTGCCTACTGGCCGGGTATCGACGGCGACATCGACGACCTGGTTCGACGCTGTTCTCGATGTCAGCAAGCTGCCAAAATGCCGCCTCGTCAACCTCCAATACCCTGGCAACCACCGGAGAGGCCTTGGTCACGCGTGCATATCGACTTCGCTGGTCCACTTAACGGAATCTCCTACCTAATCTTGGTCGACGCCTACTCGAAGTGGCCCGAGATTGCTCCGCTTAATCCAGCGACCGCATCTACCACTAACGCCTTCCTACGACGCATCTTTAGCCAACATGGCTTACCAGAAGTCCTGGTTTCACATAATGGCTCTCAGTTTACTTCGTCGTCGTTTGAGGATTTCTGCCGCCAACACAACATCCAGCATCTTCGCTCCCCGCCCTACCATCCTCAGTCTAACGGTCAGGCGGAACGTTTTGTCGACACGTTTAAGAGAGCCCTCTTGAAAGCTCGTGGGGAGGGGACAACGGACGAGATAGTCCAGGCATTCCTGTTTTCCTACAGGACAACACCGAACCCGGCGTCCCCTGGTGGCGTTTCTCCTGCCGAAGCGTTGATGGGCCGGAAACTGCGTACAACTTTTCATGCCCTCGTCCCTACCGGTGCGCAGCCGGCGCAGACTTCTCCAGTCTCTCGCAGCAAGCTCTCCATCGGAAGGCCTGTCTTCGCCCGTGATTATCGAGCGGAGTTCCCAGACTGGATTGAAGCAACCGTGGTAGCGCACAGAGGCAGTATGTTGTTTAACGTCGACGTTGGTGGTGAAATCTGGGTTCGTCACCACAACCAGATCCGACGGCGACATTGCAGTAACACAACTGGGCTCGATCCGGCGCCGTCACTCCCCCTTGACATCCTACTGGATACCTTCGCCATTCCGGCAGATCGGTCGGTTCCTGAACCCACTGCTGCGCCTCCTTCGGATGTACCGCCTTCGGTATCAGTCACTGCCCCCGGGTCTCCAAAAAACAAACCACAACTAAGACGCCGGACCAACCGCGTGCGCCGATCAACACTGCCGATGCAGATCAATCCACGCCAAAAGCGGTACCGACCCACTTGGAGGGGAGGTGTTGGGAGTGCCTACACTCCCAAAAACAAGAGCAAACCAGTCAATGGAGATCACGTGCGTTTGCTCTCTCTCTCTACCGCGCTGTCATCTCAATCAGGCGCTTCCCATTGGCTACTCCCCTCTTCCCGAAGGTCATTGGACCGAGTGCCGGCGAACCACGCTAGCGAGTGATAAATATGCGTCACCCTTACCTAGACTTGACTAGCTGAAACGTGTTTGCTAATACACGTTCTGTGGCCAGCCGTGTGTTCTTTGTCTGCTGCCTTGATATTGGGGACCAGAGTCGAGTACGCATACGCTCCACGGGATTTCAAGTACCAGGCGGGTCATAACAGGGACTATTCTCTCATGAGGAGGGAAGCGGCAGCTATATCATGGGAGACTGAACTGCGTGGTCGAGCAAACGACAACTGGAATATTTTCAGTTCCTTACTGAAAGAGATTGTTTATTCCAATTGTCCTCTCAGAAGGAAGACAATCACAAACCGCCCAAAATGGATAAACCCGGACTTGAAGGCCTCTTTCAGAAAAAGGAATCGACTGTGGAGGCGTTACAGACTAACTGGCTCCGAAGAACAATTACAGGAATATAAGCGGCAACGAAACGTCCGTAAAAGTGAGGCCTCAAAGCTGCGAAAGAGGTTTGAACTGAACATACTCCGAAATTCGGTGGAGCATCCGAAAATTCTATATGGTTATATACGCAGTACTAAAAGGACTCAGGAGCTGATCCCTGCCCTTAGGTCTGCAGATGGAAAAGTGGAGATTGATGACCAGGTTAAAGCGACCCTCCTTTCCGACTTCTTTCAGTCCGTCTTCACCTGAGAACCTAGTTCTATATATGCCCATCCATCCATCCGCCAACCAACCTCTCCTCCCAGTACCCTTCCCCCTTCTATCCCCTCCCTACCCTCCTTAACCGAGGAACCACTCTTTTCATCTATCATAGTTAGGGCCGAGTTACTCCGGCTGAAACCTGCCAAATCGCCTGGCCCAGATAGAATTCCCGCCCTAGCACTTCGTGAACTTGCTAATGAACTGTGCAAACCCTTATCTGCAATATTTCAAAAGTCATTTGAAGACGGCGAGCTCCCGGAAGAATGGAACTGCGCACTCATTACTCCGATCCATAAAGTAGGCTCAAGACTTGACTGCGGAAATGATCGTCCTGTCAGTCTTACTTGCATCGCGTGTGAAATAATGGAACGCATTATCAAAAGACACTTGATGAAATACCTGGAACAGAACAAAATATTGTGTGGAGCCCAACACGGCTTTCGTCCAGGGCGCTCCTGCCTAACGAGTGTTCTTTAGTCGGACGAGAAATGGACACGAGCTACCGATAAGGGTTTTCCAGTAGATGTCATATTTTTTGACTTCAAGAAGGCCTTTGACAGTGTCCCACACAGGCTTCTTTTACAGAAGATCTGGGATGTTGGGATTCAAGGAAGAATGTTTAAGTGGATGAGGAGTTTTCTGTCCTCCAGACTACAAAGAGTCGTCGTTGGAAATTTTACCTCGGAATGGGTAAAGCTGGAAAGTGCTGTCCCACAGGGTTCTGTCTTAGGTCCAGTACTCTTCCTGATTTATGTTAATGACAGCATCAGCGAAGTGAATTGCAAGCCTCTCATGTTCGCGGATGACATAAAAATATGGAGTGAAGTCAAGTGTGATGATGACGCAGAGAAGTTGCAGCCGAACATCAACAAACTGTGCGCTTGGTCGAACAGATGGCTTTTGATGTTTAACGTGTCCAAATGCGTAGTCTTGCACCTGAACACCGGCCGCAATGCCTCTCCCAAACACCAGTACTATATTGACGGGACGAGGTTAGAAACTGTGGAAAGACACAGAGTCCTGTGTGTATGGACGACCACAAATCTATCGCCATCAGAACACTGTAGAGAGATGGTCCAGAAGGCAACTAGTACTCTACACTGGATCAGACGTGCATTTAAAATATTTCCTCCCGAACTCTTCGAAAGACTCTTTGGTGTCTTTGTAAGACCTCATCTAGAGTATGGAATGTCAGCAGATTCACCATGGATGAGGAAGGATATCAACTTACTCGAACAGGTGCAACGCAGAGCGACAATGATGGTCGACGGTGTAAAGCATTTGTCTTATCAGGAGAGGCTAAATTTCCTTGGCCTATTCCCTCTCACTTATAGACAAATATACTGCAACCTACATTGGACCTTCCGGATTTTGCGCGGCCAGGGCTGCTCATTAAGATTGGAGGACTTCTTCGAGTGTGCCCGTACAAAAAATTACGCGGCCATATCTACAAAGACAGAAATGAGCGCACGCGGTTAGAACGTCGAAAATTTTCATTCAGCCAGCGGGTTGTCAGGCCGTGGAACTCGCTTCCAAGCGAGATGGTGACGGCTGACACAGTTTGTGTGTTTAAAAGCAAACTTGCACGTCTAGTTTTCGACAGAAATCGGCTTGTACAGCATGACTATGCACAGCGAGTTTTGTAAAACCTGTCATATACAATCTTCCGCACTAATTTACAGTGACCCTATGCACAACCTTATGATTAAGATTGAACTGTGACACAAACACATTTTAAATTCCTGCAATTTTATTTTATTTTTGAGTATGAATCTGCGAAAGCACTGTACATATATAGGGTCATCAAGGGCTCTGCCTGTGACACTTCAATATATACATAAAAATATCAGCGAACAGGGACGACAGTGAATGCGGGTAGATTGATACAGCACTGTTTCGGGCTTATTCTGCCTTCATTCAGCCAATCATAACCCTGACCACCAGCAGCTGCGACCAGAAACACAAACATGCGCACAGAAGCACCTGGCGCAGTTGATCCACCACAGGGGTCTACCAGATGGGTCATAAGCACTTTATCGAAACGAAGTTCATCAGTGCCTCGTCACCTGTCATTCTCTGTCGCTGCAGATCGGGTATCTATCAATCAGGAATGGGCGCACACCGATCTATTGGCTTCACGAAGCAAACAAGCTCCTTGAAATTCACTTCGCTGATGCTGTCATTAACATAAATCAGGAAGAGTACTGGACCTAAGACAGAACCCTGTGGGACAGCACTTTCCAGCTTTACCCATTCCGAGGTAAAATTTCCAACGACGACTCTTTGTAGTCTGGAGGACAGAAAAC